ATGCCTATGTCCTAAATGGTTTTGCCTAGGTTTTCTTCTAGGGTTTTTATAGTGTTAAGTTTTATGTTTAAGTCTTTAATACTCTGGAGTTAATTTTAGTGTAAGGTGTCAGGAAGGGGTCCAGTTTCTGTTTTCTGCACATGGCTAGCCAGTTATCCCAATACTATTTATTAAACAGGGAATCCTTTCTCCATTGTTTGCTTTTGTCAGGTTTGTCAAATATCAGATGGTTGTAGATGTGTAGCGTTATTTCCAAGGCCTCTGTTCTGTTCTGCTGGTGTATATCTCTGTTTTGGTACCAGTACCATGCTGTTTCGATTACTGTAGCCTTGTAGCATAAAGCTGATTTTAAGAGCACAAAAAAGTTGAGCACAAAGGATAGAATTAAATTCAGCAATCCAGAGTGATAAAGAGGAAAAGATACTGAGTAGGTGCCTTTGACAGAAAACATTACCCAAGTTGATTACCTAATAGTTGGAGATTGAAGTCCTTATATGCTGCAAAAGTGAGAACACTCTGGTGTATGAAGTACACGGTGACATTTGCAGCAACTTGGTCTCTATTCATTACTTAAGAACAATTAACATAGTTAAGTGTAGTCTTTAGTAGACAATCTGCATCCATTTAAATTTAAACATAATATTTTCCACAGTAGTGTAAATATAAGGCCACAGTATTTATTTTGGGCAAATCCTTTAATGTAGTGATTTTAATATCACTGTTACTCATTCTTTTGGAATATGAAGTGTTTTAATGGAATTAAGGCTACAGATAATTTTTAAAATACTGTATCATGACTAATATATTAAAACTATTTATACTGAGATATTTATATCTAATATCCAAAGAAAATTCACTGCCAAATTGTTACAGTAAATATTAATCGTCTGACACCCTTATTAACTGATTCTGTAGGTACAAGTACAGGTCAGTATGATTTTAGTGTCTATTCTTTCATTTTACTAAATTAGTAAAGCAGCATTTACAGAACTAATAAAAACAAGTGAAGCAGCCACCCAAGGACCTTAACACCTCCTGAGTTAGCTGTGTCACAAGCTCAGATAGAAATTCCCACTATATGCACAAAGCTGCATTCAAATTCTTCATCAAAAGGTGCTGGCAGAAGTTGTCAGACACCTTCCAATATAAATCTGCAATCCCATGGCCCCCAGAAGAGACAGCAGTAAAACGCTTTATAAATTCTGCTGAGAAAATGCCCCCTTTCCTCATCAGGTTTTAAATTCCATGCTGGGTAGCTATGTGCTTCAGATTCTTTAAAGAGGAATTCCTTGGGGGATACATTTTCTGGCCAACTTGACCAATCCCATATCCGATCTGAGTTTTTCTTCAAGATGCTTTTACCTTCTTTCCTTCTCTCATATCTCCCTCAGACTGAGAGCTGTTTTTCTCCAATGTCTGTGACAGAGGTAGGCTATCACAGAACTTTCGGAGCTACTCTATCCAAATTCATGTTAAATATCCAGCAGTATTTTTTCCATGTCACTATTGTATTAAAACAATTTTTTTAGATTCAGGGTCTCATTCTGTTGCCTGGGCTGGAAAGCAGTAGCACAAACATTGCTCACTGCAGCCTCCCTTTGAGAAGCAAGGCAGAGGATTACTCGAATTCAAGGAAGTACTTTGGAGACTTCCCAAAGCACTGGGATTACAGGCGTGAGCCACTGTGCCCAGTCCATGTCACCATTATAAACAGAAATGGATTCTATCATTGCTAAAGTGCTGTTCTACCCAGGAGTCCTGCAAGTTCTCTCTCTGCAGCCTGGGGATCCTGCTCTGTAATATGGTGCCAGAGGGTGGCTATAGCAGTCTGGGTCATTGCTTGGCTGTGGTCTAGGGGCTGTATGTGCCCTCAGTGGTAGACAGTCTAGCAGGCGAGCATAAGGGATATGGGCCTAGGGCTCAGTCTGTCTTTTTGTTGTTGAGTTGTAGAACGTTCTTCATATATTGTGGATAAGCGACCCATATCAGATACACAATCTACAGACATTTTCTTCCATTTTGTAGGCTGCTTTTTCACTTTCTTCTGACACACAAAAGTTTTTAATGTTAGTGAATTCTAACATGTATTTGTTGTTGTTGTTGCTCACGATTTTGTTGTTATATTTAAGAATCCATTGCCAAATCCAAGTTCATGAATATTTACCCCTGTTTTCTTCTAAGAGTTTTACAGTTTTAGCTCTTATATAGTAGATCCATTCTGAGTTATTTTTTGTATATGAAATATATATAACATTTTTTTTTTTTTTTTTTTTTGGGACGGAGTTTCGCTCTTGTTACCCAGGCTGGAGTGCAATGGCGCAATCTCGGCTCACCGCAACCTCCGCCTCCTGGGTTCAGGCAATTCTCCTGCCTCAGCCTCCTGAGTAGCTGGGATTACAGGCACGCGCCACCATGCCCAGCTAATTTTTTGTATTTTTAGTAGAGACGGGGTTTCACCGTGTTGACCAGGATGGTCTCGATCTCTTGACCTCGTGATCCACCCGCCTCGGCCTCCCAAAGTGCTGGGATTACAGGCTTGAGCCTATAACATATTTTTGAATATGGGAGTCCACTTCATTCTTTTGAAAGTAGATATCCAACTATCTCACACCATATGTTCAAGAGACTATTTCTTCTTCATGGAATGGTCATGAACCTTTACTGAAATTATAATGGTGACATGGACACAGCACTGTGGCTTGTGCCTGTACTCCCAGTGTTTTGGGTGGCCATAAATGTATAGGTTTATTTCTAGATTCCCAATTCTTTTTTTTTTTTTTTTTTTTTTTTTTTTTTTGAGATGGAGTTTCATTCTTGTTGCCCAGGCTGGAGTGCACTGGTGTGATCTCGGCTCACTGCAACCTCTGTCTCCTGGGATCAAGCAATTCTCCAGCCTCAGCCTCCTGAGTAGCTGAGACTACAGGCGCGTGCCGCCATGCCCAGCTAATTTTTAGTAGAGATGGGGTTTCACTATGTTGGCCAGGCTGGTCTCAAACTCCTGACTTCATGATCCACCCGCCTTGGCCTCCCAAAGTGCTGGGATTATAGGCACGAGCCACCGTGCTTGGCCAGTAGCATGTTCTTTTGATTGCCATATCTTTGAAGTAAGTTTGAAATTGAAAAGTTGTATTAGTCCATTTTCACACTGCTTAAGACATACCTGAGCCTGGGCAATTTACAAAAGGAAGAAGTTTAATTGAACTTACAGTTCCATGTGGTTGGGAAGGCCTCATGATCATGGCTGAAGGCAAGGAGGAGCAAGTTACATCTTACGTGAATGGCGGCAGGCAAAGACAGATCTCATGAGACTTATTCACTATCATGAGAACAATATGAGAAAGACCTGCCCCATGATTCAATTACCTCCCACCAGGTCTCTCCTACAACATGTGGGAATTCATGATGAGATTTGGATGGGGATACAGCCAAAGCCTATCAGAAGTATAATTTTCCCAACTTTGTTTCTCTTTTTTAAGATTGTTTTGGCTATTCAGGTCTCTTTGCAATTCTATGAAAGATCAGCTTTTCCATTTCTGCAAAAGAAGCCACTGGAATTTTGATACGGATTGTAGTGAATCTGTAAGTCACTTTCTGTTTTATTGCCATCTTAACATTGTCTTCCAACCTATGAACATGGGATGTCTTTCCATTTATTTAGGCTTTCTTTAATTTTTTTCAGGAATGTTTTATAGTTTTCAGTGTACAGGTCTTTTACCTCCTTCGCTAAGTGTGTTCCTAGGTATTTTATATTTTGTATATTATAAATGGAATTGCTTTCGTTTTTTTCCTTTTTTTTTTGTCTTAAATGGAATTGTTTTCTTAATTTTTTTTGGATTGTTCATTGTGGGTATATAGAAACAAAACTAACTTTTTTTTCATTATTGATTGATACAGTTTGGATTTGTGTCCTATCCGAATCTCATGTCAAATTGTAATCCACAATGTTGGAAGACGGGCCTGGTAGGGGGCGACTGGATCATGTGAGTAGATTTCCTCCCTAGCTGTTCTTGTGATAGTGATTTCTCACAAGATCTGGTTGTTTAAAAGTGTGTGGCACCTCCTCCCTCTCTCTCTTCCTCCTGCTCCAGCCAGGTAAGATGTGGTTGCTTCCCCTTCACCTTCCACCATAATTGTTACGTTTCCTGAGGCCTCCCCAGCCATGCTTCCTGTACAGCCTACAGAACCATGAGTCAATTAAACTTATTTTCTTTATAAATTACCCAGTTTCCAGTATTTCTTCATAGCAGTGTGAGAACAGATTAATACATTAATCTTGTACCCTGTAATTTTGCTGGATTTACTGCCTCTAGTGTGGATTCTTTGGGATTTTCTATATATAGGATCATATCATCTCCTATAATCTTATGTATTCTTTTCCAATTTGGATGTCTTTTATTTCTTTTTCTTACCTAATTTCTATGGCTAGAAATTCCAGTACAATATTGAATTATAGTAGGGAAAATGCAATGCCTTGCCTTGTTTCTGATCTTAGAGAAAAGCTTGCATTTTTTTAAAGATAAAATGTTCTGATGCTAAAGCCAGTTGCATATATATATATATATATTTTTGTGTGTGTGTGTGTGTGTGTGTGTGTGTGTGTGTGTGTGGATGGGGGAGGCTATCAAGTCTCGGCCATTTTACTATCAACTGACCCCAGCCTGACAGTTGCATATTTTAATGCAGAAAAAAAACATAGAAAAGTTGAAGTTGGGATATTGGTCATCTGAGATAAAGGTAGAGCTAGCCCAGGGGCTAAAAGCTCCCAGGAAAGCAGATGGCAAGTATTAGGAATTAGACAGTAAAACATTCTAGATCCAGTGCAATGTTTTACTAAACTGAATGGGATGAGGGTGGGAACAGGAATGCTTGCTAATTAAAATATTTGGGTAAGATGTTTATAAATTCCACATAGTGTGCAACAACTATTAACTTACAACGATGATACATGGGACACAGGATACATAACAGAACAAGAAACTGGCACTTCTCCATGCAAATACCTGTAAGGTGTGAGTACTGTCTGAAGACATCAGAAGGTGTAGGTCCTGTCAGCAGAAAAACATCAATGATTCCACTTTCTGACATCCAGTGCACATGAGTTCGAGATCTGACCTTTTGTTTAGCAGCAACTGGGCCCATCTGGGTCAGTGTGTACTGGAAAAAGAATGGAATAAAAATTTGAGAAATTTCCCTTTAACCTGCAACATCCAGACATACGTAAGTAACAGTCTGTTTCTCTAGTAGATACTACTGATATTCATGGACTACACTATAAAGCTTTTGGTGGCAGAGAAGTGCCAGTACAAAGATAAGACCTTTGACTCCACTGCAGTGGTTTTGTTTCTTCTTTAAGTATGGCATGTAGCTATGCTCAGCAGCTCACCTCTACTGCAGGCTCTGTATTGATCTCCACCAGTGTTTCTGAGGCATTCAGCCAGAAAATACCTATAGTTCTGCCCAGTTTGTGAGCCAGGAGATAAGGTACTGAACCATAAATGCCCATTTTATCATATATTTGGTATCCATAGACATCCAGGTTATAAAGACGGTAAGCATCTCCATCCCTGAAACACAAAGATTATCATCAATTACCAATCACAAATATATTATTAATAAATAGAATAGCTCCATTCTTCTCTGAAAACACTTAGGTCCCAAGCATCTTTGAAGGCTCAACTCTTGCCACTTTCCTAAAGATTTCCTGACACAATTTGGGTGAATGTGGTCCTCTTCCCTTGACTCCTTTGGTACCACTTCCTGTGACATTAACACAATCACATCTTAGACATCTTTTCCAAATATATCCTTTTTTTTCTTTTTTTTTTTTTTTTCCCAGAAAGGGTCTTACTCTGTCACCCAGACTGGAGTGCAATGGTGCGATTTTGGCTCACTGCGACCTCTACCTCCTGGGTTCAGTAATTCTCCCAACTCAGCCTCCCGAGTAGCTGGGACTACAGGTGTGCACCACTATGCCCAGCTAATTTTTGTATTTTTTGGTTGAGACAAGGTTTCACCATGTTGACCAGGCTGGTCTCAAACTCCTGACCTCAAGTGATTTACCCACCTTGGCCTCCCAAAGTGCTGGGATTACAGGCGTGAGCCACTGCGCCTGGCCTAAATATCCTTTGAGTGGAGGACTCTCTCCTGTGAACCCTCCACAAAGGGAAGCACACAGTAAGCATCCACTGATGAATTCTGTGAGCACTTCTCTGCAGTTAAAATAATTGTGTCCAAGAGGCTTCCACAGTGCTTAGCAGGGGAAGACAGGGAACTGAATTGGGGGTGGGAGCACAGAGCTCAGATCAGTGTGAGTACAGCACAGTTTCTCCTGGACTTATCAGAATGCCTACCTGAAAGTAAACAGCACCTGAACCTGGCAACCTGATTAGACTCTTTCTCTTTGGTTTAATTTCCTCTTAGTCTGGATGCCTCTGGCGTCTTTGTCAATAGTGTTAGCCTGACATGATAGTCCTCAGGGAATTAAAGGTGATATGAGATGCCACATTATTCCATTCTCTGGCTCACTGTCCCATTTTGGTAAAGCCTTTTTCTGGGTCAGCGATTTTTTCATGATATATTCTCCCAGGGTTCCATAAAAGGCCTTGAGAGGTAAAAGTGAAACCCAGGGATAAAGATCTTCCCTCTACACTGATCACAGCAGCTCCATAATTTTACTTCCTCTATATCTCTAGGTTCAGTATTATAGTTTTTACAGTTATCTAATTTGACCATTAAAAATAAAAATGGAAAACTGGATGGGCAGGGTGGCTCATGCCTGTAATCCCAGCACTTCGGGAGGCGGAGGTGGGTGGATAACAAGGCCAGGAGTTCGAGACCAGCCTGGCCAATATGGTGAAACCCTGTCTCTACTAAAAATACCAAAAAAAAAAAAAAAAAAAAAAAAATTATCCCAGCATGGTGGTGGGCACCTGTAGTCTCAGCTACTTGGGAGGTTGAGGCAGGAGAATCCCTTGAATCCAGGAGGCAGAGGTTGCAGTGAGCCAAGATTGCACCACTGCATTCCAGTCTGGGAGATAGAGCAAGACTCCATCTAAAAAAAAAAAAAAAAAAAAAAAAGGGAAACAACTGCTCTGGGTGATCATTCAAGGAAGGTTCTTAAAGATTCACAAGCAATGTCAAGGAGGAAAAGGCCTGGCACATATTAGCACTGGCTCAGACAGCTCACAGATGATTCCTTTCAAATCATCTCAATACAGAAACCAGAGCCTCCCATAAGAATTCTTGTTTTCACTTACCTAGTATTTTTAAGTCGGTGTGATTCTGCATGTTGTGGGATCCCATACAGATGCTCAAATTCATGCAAGGAGAAATCCAAACCAACGGAAGAAGGGCCTGTAGAGACCAGGATACTGAGTTTTGCTTCTCAAAAGGACACTTACTTAAGGAGATTCAGTTAATTCTGAGTGCAGAGAGATGACCAAACTAGAGGCTGAGAGACCTGAGCTCATCTAGATCAATCAGCAAATGCTGTGTACTGACCATCTGTAAGATACTATATTCAGGGGTTGTGGGGATACAAAAACGTATAAGGCAAAGTTCCGGTTACATATTAGTTCTGTTGCCTTAGCTGTGTGGTGAAGCTCTCTGTGTCCTCTTTACAGTAAATCTCTTTTCTCTTTGTAAAACATAAGTTTTAGATTTTTTCCTAATCGAAATTTTCCTTATCACATATTTCTTTGCTTTAGGAAGCTAAGAATATTGCTTCAGTCTTCACTAGACGAAATGACTGAATGTCTTCCGCCTGATCACTTATTCTTACTGCCAGCCTCGTCTGTGACTGCCTACCAGGAATGCAAATGTCAACGGCACCAGGAGGGCCATAACTGGTTGCTCACAAATACTCCTCCTCTGTGATTGTAGTTACATAAATTTCCTTTAACCTCCTGTGTGATTGCAGTTATACAGATTTCCTTTAACCAAAGACAAATTCCTTTATTTAACAATTATTTTACAGATATGGGAAAATGCAAATGACTAGGAGGTATAAAGTGGGTTTTAATTTATCTTAGGTTAAAGTATTTGACATCAAATGGTCCTTATTTGTAGGAGCTTGTGACAGAAAAGAGATGCTACAGAGAAAGTAAAAAAGAAGATGACATGGCCAGATATGGTGGCTCACACCTGTAAACCCAGCACTTTGGAAAGCCGAAGCAGGTGCATCACTTGAGGCCAGGAGTTCAAGGGTGCAGTAAGCCACGATCCAGTAAGCACTGCACTCCCGCCTGGGTGACAGAGCGAAACCTTGGCTCAAAAAAAAAGTTAAAAAAAAGATTAAAAAATTATGATGTAGCCGGGCGTGGTGGCTCAAGCCTGTAATCCCAGCACTTTGGGAGGCCGAGGCGGGTGGATCACGAGGTCAAGAGATCGAGACCATCCTGGTCAACACGGTGAAACCCCGTCTCTACTAAAACTGTAAAAAATTAGCTGGGCATGGTGGCGCGTGCCTGTAATCCCAGCGACTCAGGAGGCTGGGGCAGGAGAATTGCCTGAACCCGGGAGGCGGAGGTTGCGGTGAGCCGAGATCGCGCCATTGCACTCCAGCCTGGGTAACAAGAGCGAAGCTCCGTCCCAAAAAAAAAAAAAAAAAAAAAAAAAATTATGATGTTACAGAAAGGAGAGCCTAAGAACCTACGCCCCTGCTTTTAATTTGGGGCATTCTGTCAGCCCTGATCATTATACAATGCTGTAGATAATGATGGCTAGGATGGAAATTAGGGAGGGTTTGTTATTCTACAGGGCAGGGAGGAGGAAAGAGGAAAGTGAGTACTTTCCTAACTGCATAAGTTCCAAGTATCTGAAAGGCATCTCCTAAAGAGACAAACTCACCCCCCAACCCCAATTCCATCACTAGTCTTGGTGAGAAATGTGACAGATGGGCACGTGAGACCCATGAGAATGATGGGGAGGCCTGGAGAAGGTTGAGAACCACTGGCTTGAAATGTTGCAAATGAGGGGCTCTGCAACTTGGGTTTCTCATCACTTCTCTCTCATAAAAGTTGAACGTGGAATTTGTAGCTGCCTTACCTAATGGACAGTGCAAGCAGTGTGCTGATCTAGGCCCCTCCATGAGACCGTAAGCTCCATGTGGCTTATATTTCTTTTACGCTTCCCACAAAAGGTATATAATTGCTATTTCTCTGTTCCAATGCCTTATTGAAAGATAGTGAATCCAATCTGGGATTTCTGTTTCTTCTGTTAAAGTCACCTGTTTTAGGTGCCAAAGATCAAGGGGCTTTCACATCGAATTATGTAGCCTTTTTTGGACTGAACTGTTTTAATACTATGCCAGTTTCAACTTTACCATTAGCTTTGATATCCACAAATTTTCCAAATTTCTCTTCCCAAAGGCCCAGATCCTCTTGATTTTCCTGTTGATACAAAAAAAGGGGAGCAAACTGAGTTTATAAGTTGCAACAAATGTGTTTACCACAATAGCACATTTGGATTTTTTAAAAAAGAATGAGAAAGTGAGTTCATCTTTCCTTAGAAGACCAATCTGTGATGTCAGTATATTGAACAAATCAAATCTGTGTTCTATATACATGTCAACAATCATCTTTATGAACCCTAGCTGACATTAATATATTTTTTATTGTGGTAAAACATACACAACATAAAATTTACCATTTTAATTATTTTCAAGTATAAAGTTCAGGTTCAGTGGCATTAAGTACATTCACACTGCTGTGCAACTATTGCTTGTACCTTAAACAGTTAAATAAGCCAGTGATTAACAGAAATTCTTGAACTTATAGGATAGCAGAAAAGAAAATAAACATGTTGCTGAAATGCTTGTGAGATTAAAAAACCGGCTGAAATCAGTTGGAACCAATATGGCCAACTAGAACAAGCTTGCTGGCAACACAGCCTTAATTGCCACCACATATTTCATAATAATTCCATCTGAATTTGCACGTGACCCATGAGAAAACATGAAGAGATAACTGCACACACCCGAGGACTTTTCAGACCTCCCTTTCCTTCCACCAACCACCTGCTATAATATAATCCCAGAATCTACTACCTAAAGCTTTCTAATAAAATTACTGCCTTAAAGTCAGCAGAGACAGATTTGAGCTGGATTCCTATCTCCTTATTGGTCAACCTGCAATAAAAACCTTTTCTGTTCTCAAAAACCTGTTGTCATAGTATTGGCTTCTAGTGCATCAGGGAGTGAGCCCTTTTGCTCAATAACCTTATGACCATCCATCGCCAGAACTTATTTTTTTTTTTTTAGACAGAGTCTTGCTCTATTGCCAGGCTGGAGGGCAGTGGTGTGATCTCGGCTCCCTGCCACCTCCGACTTCTGGGTTCAAGGGATTCTCCTGCCTCAGCTACTCGAGTAGCCGGGATTGCAGGTGCACACCACCATGCCAAGCTAATTTTTGCATTTTTAGTAGAGGCGGGGTTTCACCATATTGGCCAGGATGGTCTTGACCTCTTGACTTCATGATCCACCTGCCTCAGACTCCCAAAGAGCTGGGATTATAGGCAGGAGCCACCACACTTGGCCTCCAGAACTTTTTTTAAATTTGTTTTTATTTTCCAAGAAGTGCCCAGGGGTGAGGTGGGGTGGGTGGGGTCTCTGTGGAGGCCCCTGAGCACTGCCCATCTGCAGAACTTTTTCATCATCCCAAACTGAATCTCCTTGCCCATTAAACAGCAACTCCCCATTTCCCTAGATACCAGTCTCTGGCAGCCACTATTCTAATTTATCTCTATGAATTTGACTACTCTAGGTATCTTCTACAAGTAGAATGATGTATAATTTGTCCTTCTGTAACTGGCTTACTTCACTTAGGGTAACATCTTCAAGTTTCACCCATGTTTCAGCATGTATCAGAATTTCCCTCCTTTTTAAGGCTAAATAATATTCCATTGTATGTATTTATCACACTTTGTTTAGTCCATCAATGGAGACTTGGGTTACCTCCACCTTTTGGCCATTGTGAATAAGGCTGCTATGAACATGGGCATACCAATATCTGTTTGAGTTCCTGTCTTCACTTCTGGGTATAGACACAGAAGTGGAATTGCTGGGTCGTATTGTGATTCTGTTTAATTTTTTGAGGAATTGCCATAACTCTTACATGAGTATCTTTACAGGAACCAAAATGCGAACACACTTTGAAAAATGCAGTCTTTATGTATGTAAGAATTAAAAATTTTTTTTCTTGTAAATATGTGAAGTGAAAATATTTAGAACCAAGTAACTTAGGTCTGTTTTGAGAGATCCTACGCAGAGATTTGTTTTTGCTGAGAGGAGCACTTTACCCCTCTGCTTCAATCAGCCAAACTACTGGCTACATTCTTGTGCTAGTTTGAGAAGTCAGGTCAATTGGGATGGCAATGACTGCTCAGGTCCATAATCTTTTGAAGTAAATGTATAAACTTTCTTACCTTTATAAAAATCTTCTTAAAAACTTAAAAAAAATTGTGTATGTGTGAAATGTGTATTTCTTTAAATGGTTCTTTGCCCACTTCTAGGTTGTTTCTTCATAATTAAAGCTTCTGTAAAGCAAACCTGTGCTTTTTTTTTTTTCAGACAAGGTCTTGCTCTGTCACCCAAGCTAGAGTACAGTGGCATGATCACTGCAGCCTTGACCTCCTGGGCTTAAGTAATTCTTCTGCCTCAGCCTTCCGAGTAGCTGAGACTACTGGTGCATGTTATCAAGTCTGATTAATTTTTTTCTTTTTATTTTTTATAGAGACAAATCTCACTATGTTCCCTTGTCTGGTCTTGAGCTCCTGGGCTCAAGCAATCTCCCTCCTTGGCCTCCCTAACTGTTGGGATTACAGGCGTGAGCCACCATACTCAGCCAGCTGTATGTTATTAAAATAACACCACCACCACCACCTGAATGCATAATGTAGGGGCTATTATTCTGGGGTCCCTGGATGGGCTTTAGAGTCCATTAACTCCCTTAAACAGTATGAACACTTTTAATTTTTCTACATAGATAATTCATAGTTTCCATCACATTCTTGCAAAAGGGTCTGTGACTCAAAACCACTACCTAATCTATGTACTGTCAGGGCTCTTTGTTTTTATTTCTTCTTAAAAAAAACAAAAACAAAATTTAAAAAACCCAGGAAAACAATATACACATATAGAACGTTCAGGTTTGTTACACAAGTACACATGTGCCATGGTGGTTTGCCGAAACCAATGACTCATCCTCTAAGTTCCCTCCCCTTACCCTCCACCCCGAAACAGGCCCTGGTGTGTGTTGTTCCCCTCCCTGTGTCCATGTGTTCTCCTTATTCAACTCCCACTTATGAGTGAGAACATGTAGTATTTAGTTTTCTTTTCCTGTGTTAGTTTGCTGAGGATGATGGTTTCCAGCTTCATCCATGTCCCTGCAAAGGACATGATGTTATTCCTTTTTATGGCTGCATAGTATTCCACAGTGTATATGTATCATATTTTCTTTTTTTTTCTTTAAGCTCTGAACAGTGGGTCTTATTGATTTTATGTTGATTTTTATTATTTATTTTATTATATTTTAAGTTCTGGGATACATGTGCAGGTTTGTTACATAGGTATACATATGTCATGGTGGTTTGCTGTACCCATCAACCTATCATCTACATTAGGTATTACTCCTAATGCTATCCCTCTCCTAATCCCCCACCCCACAAGAGGCCCCGGTGTGTGATATTCCCCTCTCTGTGTCTATGTGTTCTCATTGTTCAACTCCCACTTATGAGTGAGAACATGCAGTGTTTGGTTTTCTGTTCCTGGATTGGTTTGCTTAGAATGATGGTTTCCAGCTACATCCATGTCCCTGCAAAGAACATGAACTCTTTTTGTGGCTACATAGTATTCCATGGTGTATATGTGCCACATTTTCTTTATCCAGTCTATCTTTGATGGCCATTTGGGTTGGTTCCAAGTCTTTGCTATTGTAAACAGTGATGCAATGAACATATGTGTACATGTATCTTTATAAAATTTTGATTTACAATCCTTTGGGTATATACCCAGTAATGGGATTGCTGGGTCAAATGGAATCTCTATTTTGGTATCAGTACCATGCTGTTTTGATTACTGTAGCCTTGTAGTATAGTTTGAAGTCAGTTAGCCTAATGCCTACAGCTTTGTTCTTTTTGCTTAGGATTTTCTTGGCTATGAGGGCTCTCTTCTGGTTCCAAATGAAGTTTAAGATGTTTTTTTCCAGTTCTGTGAAGAAGGTCAATGGTAGTTTGATGGAGACAGCATTGAATCTATAAATTACTTTGGGCAGTATGGCATTTTCACAATTTTGGTTCTTCCTAACCATGAGCATGGAACGTTTTTCCATCTGTTTGTGTCCTCTTTTATTTCCTTGAGCAGTGGTTTATAGTTCTCCTTGAAGAGGTCCTTCATGTCTTTTGTGAGTTGTATTCCTAGGTATTTTATTCTCTTTGTAGCAATTTTGAAGGTGAGTTCGCTGATGATTTGGCTCTTTGTCTGTGATTGTGTATAAGAATGCTTTTCATTTTTGCACATTGATTTTGTATCCTGAGACTTTGCTGAAGTTGCTTATCATCTTAAGGAGATTTTGAGCTGAGACGATGGGGTCTTCTAAATACACAATCATGTCGTCTGCAAATAGAGACAATTTGACTTCCTCTTTTCCTAAATGAATACCCTTTATTTCTTTTTCTTACCTGATTGTTCTGGCCAGAACTAGCAATACTATGCTGAATATGAATGGTGAAAGAGAGCATCCTTGTCTAGTGACAGTTTTCAAAAGGAATGCTTCCAGTTTTTGCCCATTCAGTATGATATTAGCTGTGGGTCTGTCATAAATAACTTTTGTTATTTTGAGATACATTCCATCAATACCTACTTTATTAAGAGTTTTTAGCATAAAGGGCTGTTGAATTTTGTTGAAGGCCTTCTCTGTATCTATTGAAATAATCATGTGGTTTTTATCTTTGGTTCTGTTTATGTGATGGATTACATTTATAGATTTGCATATGTTGAACCAGCCTTGTATCCCCAGGATGAGGTCTACCTGATCATGATAGATAAGCTTTTTGATGTGCTGTTGCATTTGGTTCGCCTTTATTTTATTGAAGATTTTTGCATCGATGTTGTTCATAGACGTTGGCCTGAAATTTTCTTTTTTAGTTGTATCTCTGCCAGGTTTTGGTATCAGGATGATGTTGGTCTCATAAAATGAGTTAGGGAGGAGTCTCTCTTTTTGTATTGTTTGAAACAATTTCAGAAGGAATGGTACCAGTTCCTCTTTGTACATCTGGAAGAATTCAGCTGTGAATCCATCTGGACCTGAACTTTTTTTGGTTGGTAGGTTATTAATTGCTGCCTCTACTTCAGACCTTGTTATTGGTCTATTTGGGGATTCAACTTCTTCTTGGC